CGTTTTCCTCTTGTGATGGGTTGCAATGTGGGGGCTTCAATCCAACCATTTTAAAGGCCACTTTAGGTGTTCTAGAACAACTAAGTCATGGTCTGGTATCTGGCATTTTCATTTGCAACTTGCAAAGCTCTGAAGTTAATTCACAGGCACATTGTCCAATATGGTAGGAAATAAGAAGGGCAGAGTGATAAAGAGAAGATTCTGTGAGAAATTCACACTGGGATGGAATCAGTTACTCTCTGGAGGATGTTCTCTTTCTAAATAACAGCAATGATGAGTAAAATTGATCTTTTTTGTTTTGCTATTTTTTGATCTGTGACACAGGGAGAAAGGTTAATATATATCACAGGCATGGGTGGATGAATACATTAAAAACTTCATTTTATACAGATGCCATTGAACTCATCATGCTCTAAATTTTACAGAAAAACACATCTCCACTTCTGTGGGTGTTAATGAATCTTCTGACATAAAATTAAGAAAATTGAATCTCCAGAATTATAGTATCAGAAAAATGGCATACCTTTATTCCAATTCCAGAATATTCTCCATCACTGGGCAATAATCAAAGGGCCAGATCTTTGAGATAAGTGGGCAGAGGGGAAAAATAAATTGCAAATGCTTTTGTGATATGAAACCTTTGTCCTGAAGAAATAAAAGAAGAGGAAAACAAATGCTAAGCATTCTCTAGGGAGGTGTTCTTCATTGAAAGTAAGCTAAACTTAGACTTCTATCAGAAGTCAGCAATCTCAATTTATTGAAGTTAGAGAATGCACAGATCTCACTGGCAGTGTCGGGTGAATGTGTCCATTATCTGCATAAACCCTTCTTGTCTAGGAAATTTACAATACCACTAAGCATCCATGGAAAATTGTATATCTTGTGATTAAAAAATAGCACCAGCAAAACAGTGCTTTACAGTTAGAAATTTCTCAAGTGCTCACAGTGAACTGTTCTCTGAGGATTCAATCTTTTTTCATCTCTTGAAAAATATTATGTAAGTTCTGAAAGAGAAGTGACTCTACATATTAATGCTTGGAAATATGATAATAATGACACATTCAGATGCATTTTCCATCAGACAAAAAAAAAAAGAAAAAAGAAATATATCCACAATTCCTTGGGCATCTGGAAAAATATTATTTTTAGGGTAAGAAAAAAAAAGTACAATTCTAGAATTCATAGAAATGGATCTACTGGGAAGAACTTCTGTTTTCTTTATTCTGATTTCCAAACAGAAGATGGTTTTAGCCCTATATAATTATGGAAAGATTTTAATGGGATATGCAAAAGCAGATATTTCGGTTTATAAAAAGTATAAGTTTATTATATTAGAAAAAGGATTGCAAAATTGTCAACGACAATATCCTAAAAAAGAAAGTGAGGACAACAGAGACAACAATTAAATGAGTTATGTAGAATCTGATTTGCAATATAAAAGCACAGAAGAAAAAGTACTTGGCTTTTCAGGTTTTAATAGAAATTGTAACAATTTTGTAGGCAAAATAAATTGCAAACAAACCTGTTTTCATTAAAAGAACTTAATAAGTACAATTCTCAAACAAAAAAGAAAGGCTTCATCTCTGGGTTTGCTCTCTAAAGCTGCAGAAAATTATTACAACTTAATGCATTTTCTTAGTATAAAAAAGAAATTATTTTCCAGCTCTTGTTCTACCTTGCTTACATGAGCAGAGATACTGCATCATTTTGTTGTCTGTCCTCTAGTTCATACTTGTAAGCCTTTACTTTCTCTGAACAGTACTTTTCAAGTATGTAATAAAAGTTAAATAGCAACAAAGAATCTCTTGTACCTTAAGAATACAGGAGAGAAAAACTATCATATTCTGTATTTTCCTTTTTTTTCCTTTCAAATTAAAATTGTAGTGCAAACAGAATACAGAAGGGGATCCAAGGAACTCTTTATTTTGCTGGATGTTATATTTGGTATAGCCTTGTCACTCTATCCTGACCTACATTTCCCTGAGGGTTTTAAGCCCTGCATTATGAGGGTGAATATTCCACAAATAGAGATTTCATATTGTGGAGATTTTCATTTAGAAAATGCAGAAGTTCAGGCCCAAGAGATAAAAGCTTAACTGGTCAAATGATCAATTACAGGGACTGAGACTTTAATACCTATTAAATTTGCTGAAGGCATAGAAGATTATTGAGCTGAATCATAAACATGCTGGGATTGTATATTGCTGCAGTCTATACAGGTAGATAGGAACAAACTACAGAATCTTTTGCTTGTACAAGCCCTAGATTTCAGTCCAAGTGCATAGATATAAGCATAAATATTTTAAGATCCAGTGCATTGCTGTTGAGTATACTGATAATAAATGAATAGGGGTACATTCATGCAAAAGTGTATTTAGGGTTCAAGAACAAAACTGTTGTTTTAGGTTATGAAAACAAAGGGGAAAAAATGTCTATTGATATTTTTATGAAATGGAACTCTTTTTCTAAAGAAATAAAAGAAGAGGATGACTGAATTAGAAGGTGACTGCAAGAGAAATATAGTTTTGTAGAGACAGATACAGCTACTATTAACTACCATTTTCCATGTGAAATTAAGAATTTGGGTTTTATCATTCTACAAAACATTATAAAAATTCTCTTAAGGCAATTTTTGTAGTTTTTTTTCTTTAAGAAACATAATAATCAAACAAATAAAACCCTTCCAAAATACCAGCCTTTAAATAATATGGAAATCCAGAGCAGCTGTCTTCTGTTCAGAGTATTCTGATTATTTTTAATGCCTGATGCTCAAAAACATGAGTTTTCAAAAGTGCAAACTTGTCACAGACATAAGAAAAGCCTTTCCTGCCCACCTTCTTTCTGCTATTTCCTATAGTAGAAAGCAAAAGAAATTCTGTTTGTGAATAGAAGTAGATGACAAATATAGAAGCTGTAAATGTAGATAGCTGCATGTACTTCATAGGTATTTCACTACTATTTTATGAATAGATTGTGTCACAAAGAAAGATCCCAATAAAAGACAATGTTTAAACAATAGATTCAAATTGCCTTGTACCAAGCAAAACATAACTATGTATTTACGTTTAAGATAAATTTTCTTGTTATGTTTTGAGTTAAATAGTAATTTTTTTAATTATATGGCCAATTTGGAAGTTGCATTTTTGGAGTCTCTGTATGTATAAGAATGTTTGTGCAAGGTACTGTAGAAAGTGCATAATTTTATACGTTTTTTGGTGAAATAAAAACATAATGCACAACAGGCTTTTGTCTTAAAAGACCTTTTTCAGTTCCTTCCTCTACCCACACCCCCCCCCCCCCCCCCCCGCCCCATAAAATCCAATTTATGGTAGTCCAGACACTGCTTTCTGTTGATTGCTAAGTAATTTCTCACTGATCTTGGAAAAGTAAAAAAAAAAAAAAAAAAAAGCAGCAAGTGCTTAAATGCTTTTATCCAAAGTTGAATATTTCTATCCAAAATATGACATTGCTGCATCAAATGTTTGTTAGAAGTTCATGCCCTCTTCTAAATCTGTGTAGTTAAATAATTTATGTAGCAATGAACAGACATAATACAGACCCAGATTTAAATATACTCAAAACTATAAAATATCTACTTTGTCACAAACCACAGCTTTAGAAAAGCTATTAAAAAAAATTCTTGATATAAATATCTTGTATTGAAATGAACATGCACATGGTCTTTTGCATGAGATCACAGTCTAATACTCAAGGAGTTTATTGGAAACACAGAATAAAATACAGAAATATTTTAGGACCCCTCCTTCATTTGAGGAACAATAGTCTAGCTTTTTCTATAATGTTCCATCACAATATGAATGGGATTGATATATTAATCTGGGAAAGTGCTGGTGTCTCACTTAGGGAAAAGTTTGAATACATTATTTGGCCCTTCAATATTGATGATTATTTATTAATATTGATATATATTTATTGATCTCATATCAACTTGAATATGAAATCCATTTTTATATGCCAAATAAATAGCATGATTCTTTTTCTTCTGTAAGTATAGTTAAACATTGGAACAAATTCTTTAGGAAGATTAGTCAATCTCCTTCCCTGATTGGTTTTACAAACAGATAAAAAATTCTGTAAAGAGTTGTTTCAATATCACTGTATGTACCAAATATAACAATGATGGAGCTAATGCATTACAGAGGACTAGTGATCTGTAAGATCTCAGAATGTATTCCACAGCAGTACTACAAATACATAACTGTAAAACAAGGCAAATCCCATTCACTTCCACATAGGCATACAAAGAAAGCCCCACAATACACATACACAAAATATCAGGAGGATAATTTAGACAAACATTTAAAGTTTACTCTTATTTTTATCAGGTTGCAAAGTGGAGACCACAAGGTAATACTTGATCAAGAGCAAGGCTGAATTAGGTTTGGGTTTTGGAGGTTAGACAGTTTTTCACTCAAGAAATGTTCAGAAACACTTGTTTGGGAGACTCTGAGGGCTGTTTTCCATCTGGGACTACCTGCTATGAATTTCTGATTGAAATGTTTAGGAACAGTTTCTTAGGAAGGCATGAAGAAATAGACTATCATCCAGGGACCACAGAAGGACCTGATCTTGATGTCATATCTGTAAAAGTAAGCATGGATTCCAATTTTTATGTCCCTTAATTTTTTTTCTCCTTTAAGCAATAATTGGCAATAACCTTGACAGTACCCAATCAGTGCTATTCACCTAAAAGCAGAACAAATTTACCCATTTTTCATTAATCTACTTTTCAAAAACATTCCTGAAAGTATGAAGTATAAATGCTAAAATAAAGTAGAATATAAATACAAAATGCAATATATTATTATTCATAGTTTGCAAAATATTGTGTACACATGTCCTTGATACCCAACAGCTCAGTGATGACATGTTACAGTTTTCTGTTTCTGTAAGGAAATGCATGGAAATTATTCTGTTCGATTCAGACAGCCCAGACAAAACAGAAGCCCATTTCTTTGAGATTTATGTATTTTATTTACCTTCATTGTTCCTTAGAGTAAAGTTGGGATTCAAAGAAAGCCCTTCATCAATAGAAAAATGGAATCTTGCGCCATTTGCAGAGTTATCTTTGTCAGTAGCAGCGATAGTCTGAATTACCTGAAATAAAAATTAGCAGTGAATGTGTTGAAATTTGAACTTGACCCACATAGTGCCTGACTTCAGCAGGATGCTCAAGTTTACCTTATTTTAATTTTCTACTTGGCTGCTGCTGAATTCAACAGATGAAGTGACTGGGTCATTAACTTGATTTCTCTAGCAGGAAATATTTCAGAAACCACACTTCAGAGCCAGGTAAAAGCATCTAAAGGATCTATATTTTCTGATCTTTTGATACAGTCAGGACCCAGTGTAGAGATTATCACCATCTGCATTGTATCCTGCTGACTTCTTGAATTACCGTTTTAGCTAAATGTCTGTTTTTATGGAGCCAAAATAGAGGCTGAACTGGGATGGTCTATGTGAAATGTCATCTGCCTGCTGTCCTAATAAGTGAATATACTTCAATATTGGTGAGGAAAAACAACTAAAATATTTCTGCTAACCATATCTCTGCTTAAAACTTCCTGTTAAGATTCAGTTTTAAATTGCCAGAGAACAGAACAGGAAGAACAGAAGCCACTCCTGGTTTTAGTTTAGTTTAGTTTGCCCAAAAGTAACAGAACTGGATGTAGCCAGAACCATGTCTGAGAGAGGTATTTTTGAAAGGTAGGACCTTTGCCTTCGAAAGCCCTGGCGGTGTTTTAAATTTACTTTCAACTAAAATTGATCTAAGTTCTTGGAATGTGGGACCAAACAGTATTTCTACCTCTGCTTTCATTTTCATGCTGTGTCTTGAAACTCAAGTGCTAAAGTGGAATCCAATAAAAGTTCTTCCTGTGATATAGGCAGCGGAGCCCACACAGACTGCTGCACAGAGCTGATAGATATCCTGAGGGAAACATAAAAGTGGGGAGGGAAAGTGCTCTTTTCATAAGAATTCTGTTCAATGTTCAGCTATAGTCTGGACTGAACCTGAAACATACACAGCACAGACTCCAGTGGCTTGGTCTGTTTTAAAACTGAAAGACACCACAGAAATCTCTACCTCCATTCACAGAAGAGAAGCAAAACAAATTTATTTTTTTAAACCATGCTCTGGTTTGGGCTGGGGTAGAGCCAATTTTCTTCACAGTAGCTGGTATGAGGCTGTGGTTTTAATTTGTGCTGGAAAAAGTGTTGATAACACAGAGATGTTTCTGTCATTGCTGAGCAGGGCTTGCACAGTGTCAAGGTCTTTTCTGTTTCTTGTACGGCCTCACCAGCAGGCGGTGGGGGTGCAGGAAAAGTTGTGAGGGGGCACAGCCAGGACAGCTGACCCCAAGTGAACAGATGGATTTTCCATACCATATGATGTCATGCTGACTTGTAAAGCTGGGGGAAGAAGAAGGAAGGAGGGGATGTTTGGAGTGATGTTATTTGCCTTCCAAAGTCAGCGTTGCTACACATGATGTTGCTCTGCTCTCCCGGAACACCTGCCTGGCCATGGGAAGTGGTCATTTCCTTGTTTTTCTTTGCTTGTATGTGCATCTTTGGCTCTACCCATTACACTGGCTTTATCTCAACCCACAAGCTCTCTCACTTTTACTTTCCTGATTCTCTTCCCCATCCCACTGGTGGGGGAGTCAGTGAGTGGCTGTGTGGAGATGAGATTTCAGCTGGGGTTAAACCATGACACCTCAATAGGGTATAATGCCTATTCCATTTACTATATAGAATAAAGTACATTGCATTGACTATTCACATCTGAGACAACTTACTGTATTTATCATAGTTGCCAATAATATTTTACTAGTTTGTCATAATACTTTTTGCTGAAGTAGAGCAGAGTAAAATCAATTTGAAAGAAACCTGAAATATCTATAATCATGCATATGACTTTTACCTAAGTCATGGCAATACTGGTTGAAAATTTTTGCAAAAGCTAATTTTTCACTACTGAATTTTTCAAAGGTGGCACAACTGTTAGTAACATTATCATGTAAAACCAGAAAGATAGGATTTTCTTAACCGTATATATTTAGTTCATAATGTTGGAATGATATTTGGCACAGTAAGACAAAAAAAGGGGTGATGGAACACTATGTTCAAAATAATCGATTTTTGTTATTATTCAAATACTAAACATGTCATTAAATGCCATACACATCTGTAAAAACTTCAGGTAAGACCATAAGAAAAAAATATTATTTTATTAAATATTTTTTGGAAAACCCAGTGTTGTTTCTCAGTGAAATATAAGTCAATTTTCCATGCAGCTTCAGCTTTTATTTGACAGCATGGTGGATAAATTTTAATCCTGTTGCCCTATGCTACATAAAACATTCAGTGACATTTTACAGAATGCTGCTTCAAGAGCATGCCATTCTGCAACAAAAATATCTTTGATCAAGGAGTCCGTGACACATGACTTGTGTAAAAATTATTTGGTTTTAAGGCTAACTTTAAAACTAAAAATATACTGTCTATATTCCCTGATTTCACACATGTAAATACAAGTATTCCCTGAATTCATGCTTATATGTAAAAAGTATAGCACCACATGGCATAAAAGTTTTGCTTTTTCACCTAGAAAATAAATATTTTATGTTTACTAGGATAAGTCAACAGCATAGAGTCCTGCTTTTAAACAAGAACTTCACACATTTTCAGAAAATATATCCAAGACATTCATTCACCAGTGAGAAACAAAAGTACACGTCATCTTGACACCCAAATGTACTATTAACCCTTTTCTAATTAATTGGCCAAGCACTTAATAGCCTATTAGCAGACCTTAACATGTACCATGCCAAGCCTGATTAAAATAAAAGACATAATCTCAGCTTCAGTAAAGCCCAGCTGACAACACTGATAGGATGAAACTGAAGGGTCATTATATTTTTTTAAAGTCAAGACATGATGAGAAAAGAGAATTTCAAGAACTGAGGAGAACTAATTGAAGAAGACAGAGAGCAGGTGTTAAATTCTACTCAGAATCATTTTAAAATTGAATCAATAAACAAGCAAATATACACATGACAAACACATAGCAGAGGCATTCCTTGCCAACTGACATTGATTTCCTTTTTAGAAGATGGCAAAATGTCATTTTCCTTCATTGGCCAAATTTCACAGTCAATCACAAAATCAGTAAATGTCGAGAAGTCAGTATTCTCCAAGTCTAAATGTCATCTAAGATCAAATCACAGCTACTTTGTCTACCCTAATATATAATATCAACCAAGCTTCACTTGGAATCTGTTGCAGATGCTTAGTCTATCTTCCCAACTATATGGTTACAAAGTGACCAAAGCTGTCACTTCAGCCTGGAAATGATTGTCTCCTCATAAGCATTTTCTTTTTGACATGCCTTAGGTTTGGTCATTTAGATTTAAGGCTCAAGCATTAAAAAGTTGAAGCTTTTTTTTTTTTCCATAAAACAGAGCAGTGGAGAGGAAAAAGCAAGAGACAGGCTCTGCGATTAGATGATACTGTGAATTCACTCCATAAAAAGGTATTTTGATAACAAATAAGCAAAACCAAAAAGTCCTTCAATGACTATTCACAGGTTAGTTTATCTCACACAAAAAAAATTTCAAAATAGATGTGCTGAGGAAAGAAATAGTGGATCTTATAGGACAGTGCAACATGGAAGCCCAAGTCAAGCAGATATCCCTAGAAGTACTGAATTTGTTATTTAGGAATAAATCTTATGAAACATTTTCGTAGGATGATGGATAACTTAAAGTTATACTGTCTTTTCAGTGATTCAGAGCCACCCAGCTGGGAACTCTTTATAGCATATGGAACATTTGTCTTCTTTTGCAATCAATTTGCCCCTCCCTAATATTTTTGAACACCATTTTATTTTTTTGGTTTTTTCCTTAGACTAGATTGTAACATCTGAGCAAGACACGTCCTTTTGTGTTTGGTTTTGGCTTCTGTTTAGTGTTACAATTTTTCTGAAACCTTGTTGTGAAATGCAAATAAAAAATCTTTCATTACACATATGTAAAGGAGCCCTGTTAGTTGAAGAATACAACATCAAGCTGGTCCAGCCTTTGGTATTAAACTACAGCTTGTCGAGTCCCTCATAGCAGCACTAATCTCAGGTGTTAAACTGCAGTGTGGCTGAGGTCAGGGGTCATTCAGACATGCAACACTAGCTCAGGGAAAAGCACAAGGCTGGCCCAAACAGTGAGCAAATGTTATTGTATCTCTTAAAGATCTTGCCCATAAATTATCATTTGTAAAAATACTATTGGAGAATTAAAATTTTTCTACAAAACATTAGCTACTTACCAGCAACAACAGCCCCAGCAGCCCCAGCAAAAAACATTTCTGAGACAGCTTCAGATTTGCATAATTTACCTTATTATTTATTAAAAGAATTTAATATTTATTGTTTAATAATATATTTTTTAAAATATCAGGAAAAGTTGAATCAGTTGCAACTAATGCTTAAAAGAGATTTTTTCTTACATTAGTTTTTTTGCAAGTTCCGATTAGTCTATATTTCCATTTATTTGATGTTTTCAGAGCATTATTTTTAATTTATTAAGCATTTAATAAGAGATATTCAGTTGACAGACAGACATACTTGGATTTTCCAGTGTCTCAATAAGAGCACTAAAGAACACTATACAATCATTAGATAAGAGGGAAGGTTCTTGCACACATAATTGCTCTAAAGACAGGAAATAGGATCTCCTCTGTAAATTGCATATTACACAAGGAGAGAAAGCCACAGTGACTTCCTGCTTATGCTGGGCCACTTGTTGATCAGTGATCAATAATGAATGTGATTTTATAAAGAGTATGATTATCAGCCCACCAAATCTACTCATGATATTGAATTGTTCAAAGAAGAAAAGAGGAAGGGTTGACATTAAAGACGTTTCAATACTCAGTAGCCAGGCAATACAAAGACAGAGGAAATTCATTATATATAACATAAAGTCTTAACCTCACACACATGATGGTGATCTCTGATCTGACTATTACCTTTAATGATATTGGTGTTATGGCATGCACAGTTTTGTGCATTCCATGCTCACTAGTTAAAAAGCAAAGTCATTCTGAGAAATTGCTATGAAAATACTAAAGATCAAAGCAAAGATTATCATATACTATGAAGCATGAAATATTATAAGAATTTTAAATCACTGCATACCTGCATCTTGAATCTTGATTCTATCTTAAGGTGAATAGAGAGGAATTGGAGAAAGTTTAAAGGCAGAAAAGATTAATGATCAAAAGTCTGGAAGGGCTTTATCACTGTTTGCCCCAGTTAAGTAGGACTGACTCAGTCAGGACAATAGACAGCTAAGGGACAATGTACTAGAGACTTATGCATGTCACAGTGATAATAAATAGAGATCAACTGCACTCCCTCTTTCTCTCCCAAGAGAACTGGTAAATATTGATTGAAGACAGTATGGAAAGATTAAAAAAAGAAAGGTCTTATTGAAGCATGCAATTAAACTACAATATTTCTAGGTGCATGAAGTAGTAGATTCCAAAAATTTATGTTTTTTGGAGGAAAAGTTTGACAGGTTCATATGAGATGGTTATTAAAGAATTATTAAAAATACACAAACCATATTTAGATCAGGAAATGCCCTGCAAATTGTCTCATACCAGGGAAGAATTTGTGGTAAGTATCATACACACTTGGTCTTTTCTTATACTGTGTTTTAGGTGCCAGTTTTTGGCTGCTGGTGGAGTGAAGATAACTTTGATCAGGCTACAGTCAGATGATGTATGGCATTTTTATAGTCTCAGCTTTAAAAACAGAAATATGTCACTATGCATTTTTGTGCTCTCATTTTAAGGATTTGATGAAAATAATGTTATTACTAGTAATACATTCCTCAGGAAACATATCAGCTCATACTTGAAACATGCAACCTGTGCAATAATGCAAAACAAGCACAGTGCTGTGGGTAAAACTCAGTGTATGCAGAAAAGGAAAAGCACTTTGCAAAACTGTCAAACCCCTGGCTGCAATGATGTGCATCAATCAGAGGAGCAGTGGCTGGAGTATGATTCAGCTATTTAGTGGCAGTTCTGGCACTCCCCATCCTCATAGTTGTGAAAACCCATTCAAGATCTTTTCTGTAACAACCCTTTATAGGCAAGGGCAACCAACAAGCAAAGAGTGAGGGTGTGAGCCATGCTCACCAGACACTTCAGTGAGCCGCATTTGAAACATAACTACTATGTGGCACTTGGATGAGAGATGTTAAATCTACTTTATTCACTTTGTTCAGGATAGTGGCTTGTCAAATTCTATCCCTTATCTGACAGGATTAAAGTTTTACCTGTCTTTACAGAAGATAGCTTGAGTATTTTTTTTGCAGCAACAAGAAAGAGATATTGAACAAATGCCAAAATTTTCTCCCTTTTGCTTCATACAATTAAAATTTCAATCAAGTACAAAATGTTAAAGTAAAATCAGAAAGAGTTATGATATTTTCCAAACTTCTGACATATGTGACATTAACAAAGCAATTCTTCTTCATCACTGGAAGAAATATAGCTGTGAGAGTTACCTGACCAGGCTTTGAATTTTCACAGACGACTACATCATAATCTCTGGCAAGCTCGGGAGGATTGTCATTCACATCCAGGATTCTAACACCAACTGGAACATGGCTCACTAGATCAGGATTGTCTGCAAAACACATAGGATGGTATTGAGCCTTTTAAAATACTCAATATTGCATGTAATCCTCAATTTAAAAGTGGTTTATTAAACAATAACTAAATGAAAACTGGATGCATCTACAGAAATTTAGATAACAACATAATAAAGCATGTTTGTTGTGCTTCATTAACTGTTTTGAAAAAATAGCAATTAAACTGAGTGGGAAGTATGGCATGAGTCAAGTCACTTAAATCAAATACAAGCTACTCTGGAAATGAAGTGGGAGGAAGCTGTTGTACTTATACTGTTGCACTGTATGGTGAAAAATGACCAATTTCTTGGTAATTAATGTTAAACTGTCATCATAGTATTGAATTAAATCTAATGCAAAAAATATGAAAGCATCTTTCTTTTTCACAGTTCCTTAAAGGGTTTAGAAAGTAAAATGCAAATATAATAAAAAAACACATAGGCATATATAAACTTTCCCCAAAATTGAGTTCTGGTTTCTCACAAGTTGCTATGGCATTTCACACAGTAGTTAGTAAGTATGGCTTTAGCAGAAGAAAAGAAAGAAAGTTCAGCAGAAGTGAGTCTGGTTTTTGCACAAAGAAAACAATATTTAAGTACCAATGCCTAAGGCTATGATCCGTACTTTCATGGCAGCTCACCCTCAGAAATATTACACCCTCAAAAAAAGCACAATAAGAAGAATCCTTTCAACAAGAATACACTTTCCATGAGAAAATGGAAAAAACCACCACCCTATAATTTCTTTCAGTCCATAACACCCTTGTTATTACTTTTAAGTACTAAGGTAATTTTATTTTGTTGAAAGAATTATGTATTTAAACTTTTTATGATCATCTAATACATGCCTTCTGGAGTCTGTACAAGTATCAATCAGTTAGATGACAAACTTTATCTTGCATTCACCAACTAAATGAAATTATCAGTACAAAACTGTAAAGTCAATCATTCAAATGGAATAAAATGGAAGAATGAGGTATTATAGACTGACACTTTAAAAGTTCATGTGTGTGCTCATGAGGAGAAAAAAGAAAAATAAAAGAGAGAGAAAAATTAGTAGTCAAAGCTTCATTCACGGTGAAACTTCATTCACCATGGTTATTTTGATTATAATTAATCCCTACCATGTTTCTGTTAAAAATGGTCATTTAGAAAATGCCTAATATTTGTCACACATTTAATGATCTCTGCTCAGAATTCTGGAAAGCATTGACTTGACACATACTTGGCTTTAAAACCACCAGTGATGTAGGCTCCCAGTGAAGAAATATTTGAGAATGTTAAAGTTTTTTTGAAAAATGAAGTGATCTCTCTTTTTATTTCATCACATGGGATACTAGGCAAAGGATCTAGGTCTTAGAAATTCCCTCAGATTTTTCATATTCTCTTTTTTAACTAATATGTGCATATTCACACAATGATTTTAATAGTTTTGAAACCTAATAGAAAGGAGATAAAAAAGTCAACAGAAGACTTAACTAACAGAGGAATGCTATTCCCAATTACCATTAGCATTAGAAGTTAGAAGAACATGCTCAGAAGACATGTATAGGCTTGCAAATGCCGTTATCTTGCTGACATTTTCCTTTACTGTTCTTTCCAGTTTTATCTTGAATCTATAAATATCTTTGTAAGAGGTGAACTAAGAGACAAACTGGACTATCTCCACTGTTTTTATGCAAGAATGAGGCTCTCTATTGCCATCTATAAAACACCTTTAGTAGAAAACTTTGAGGAAAGTTTAAATGCTGGGGATATATATAAGTGAGGGAAGAATTACACTTGGCTGTCCACTAAGTATTTGGGAGAAGGGAGCTATTTATCTACCTTTGCTGTTTTTTTCTGAAGGAAGCAATCTTCTCTCCAGGAGAACATTCACAGTATGAATAGTAATACAAAAAGATGTTTGTTCCTTTATTGAAGGTAGATCAAAAGATTGTGCAGAAGAGCACAGGCAGTACAGATTTAACATTACTTACTGCTCACTTAAATTTAGCTTGCAACTCATTTAGGCAATGCCCTCTGTTAATGTAATCAGACAATGAAATTAAAAAATCCTGTAATTACAATGACAGAATATGATATCCATGGCGGAAAGAAAATTTGCTTTTGAGACTTTGTTGGGGAGGTTCTTGAACATAATTTGTAAGGTATATGAACTATAAAGTGGTATACATGAAGGAAGGACACAATACACACAAAGAGACAAGATTCATAAACTATAATGAAGAATTTGAACATTTTAATAGTACAGAAGATCTGGAAGAGTTTTAGCAAGAAGGCAACAGAATTTGTGCTCATCAGATAATCATAGGATTACTGAAAAATCTTAGTTGAAGGGGATTTCTGGAAGTCACTGGTCCAGTTTCCAGCTCAAAGCAGGACCATCTTCAAAGGTATGAGGGGGCAAAAAACATTCAAGAGGATGCAGAAAAAATTAGAGAGGGCACAGAGTAGTGGGTGCCACAGATAAAGGACTGCTCTGTAGGCCTGGCATATAGTTACTGGGGAAGAAAAAATCAAACTTTTTAGTCCAGTGCATGATAAAAAGAGTTAAATACTTTTGTTTCAGTACAGTGCTGCAGACCTCTTTGCCTCACCTTGAAAGTGTCCTCTTGTATGCCTGTCACTACTACCCAGAGCAATCTTACTCAGTCAGTTAGATTTGCAGTAGTTTTGCAGAGATATTTTATGGAGATTCAGAAAGTTTATTTCTTTTGCAGCTGTTTTAGAGTATGAAGAATTTATAAATACCTCATCAGTTCAAAAGAACTCTTTATGCACAAGGTAATATTAGTAACTCCCTGGAAGCCAGTACCTCATGGAATCACTGACATTTGTAGGCAAATTTCCATACTGACAGGATACTCACTACAAAATGCTAATGGTACAGTATTAACACTACTTACCAAAACAGTCTTGAACAGCATGCATGCCTAAATTTGCATGCAAGGCGACAGAACAATTTATAATAGGGGAAGAGAATGAGAAGGAATTGAAGGAAATAAGTTTTTTTTTCTCTTTCTTTATTTAAGTTTTGATTTTGGGAATCAATATATACTCCATATACTCCAGTCTTTTTCAAGAATACAATTTACCTGCAATCTCCAAACCAATCTAATAACTGGCACTTTTAATAGTACATTTTTCTTAATAAGACAAATTTCTTGCAGTAATATGGCAGATTTCCAGTTTTAAGATAATCATTGCTGACATACATTTCAGGCCTGTGCATCACAAAATATTCTGTGTCCTATTAGCATTTGCCTCAAGAGTATATTTTTGGAAATGAATGCTCTCTGTTTTAAGGGGCAACTGAAGCAGAAACACTGCTCTGATTCACCTATGCTAGAGACTTATTTTCTTATACTCGAGACTTTTCCCAGAATAAATAGTTCTTCTTCCAGAATACTAAACATCTGTAAAGTAAATAAATTTCATTGTCCAGATTCTCATATTCAGATCCTCCATTGGCAAGTCCACTCTAAACATACAGAAGACCCAATTAACAGCCAATGTGAAGCCTTGAATCTTCTATTAGTTTCTGTGGGCAAACTTTTAAATCCCTATTTAGGAAGAAAGATTTTTAATATAGTTACTTATGACTGAGAGTTTCTTTTCACACTAACAAAATTCCAATAGACTTCATAAAAAATATTCTACCTGAATAATTTTCAGAATAGAAGTCCTGACATTAACAATATTTTGTGGGTTTGTTTATTTGCTTTTTGCTTGTTTTGTTTTCTTGGTTTTGAATTTTATTTTTTTTTTAGTAAGTTAGCTAACTGTAGACTTCATTGTGTTCATAGTGTTTACTATATAAGCCTATTTGACATATTTTCAAGACCATACAATGCAAACCAATACTTAGGAAATTCAGCTAGCTCTCTATACCATTATTTCTTAAAGAGAAGTACAAAAGACTCATCACATTCCTCTAATAAAGGTAGTTAGTTAGTTTTAAAACATGAGAACAATAAACATATATCTAGGAAAGATAAAATATACTACCACAAAAAAGCCTAAGTGATGGAAGAATGTCCAACACACAAGTGGGAATGGCAATACCAATAAAATACAGGGTTTAATTCAGGATGATGTATATGTGATAAACTTAATATCCTGGCAAGGAGAAAATTATATCTAAGAATAAGTTTAATGTTCCAGTCTTCATTTTAAGGAAGTGAGTACTTCCAAATAGTGTTACCTGAAGATGGATAGCAAATGCTTTTATTTTTTTCTTGTAGCAAAATTTAACTTTTTACTAATAAATATAAAGCTGAAGACACTGCTCACTTCTATCACAGCAGTAGTGATAGCAGCAGCAACTACAGAAGCAATAATGATAATCATAGCACTGCAGTAGATCAAAAACATTTAGAGTTTTCAAGCTGGAAACCCTCAATTGCTGTAATTCAAGCCAAATTCTCAGACGATGTTGGTGTTGACTGCCTGATTAGAACAGGGCACCACAAAACATACTGGTTCTGTGGCCAGAAATGTCCTTTTTGACATTTCTGTCACAAAGCTTCAAAGGGAAATAAATGCCATATGATTCCAAACTCTATCCCTTCTCTAGAGCCTCACCTTGGTAGCTAAGAAGAGCCATGCCCTATCCCGCTTTCAGATGATAACATAGGAATATCTTCATTGTTGCTTTTCCCAAAGAAACAGGAGAAGAAACTCTAGCATGCCTAGAAGCCAATGACTAAGCCAACATAAACAGGGAATAAGCGTTGAAATTGGAATTAGAAGCATAATTCCTTGAGCAGGCTAGAGAACTAACTGCCTTTCAACAACTGTTAGATTTTTAAAATAGCTTTTTGGTAGGCTTTCTGTATTGCATTGGTAAGCACATTTGAAAAAAAACAGCAGATGCTGCTACATCCACGTGATTTTTGAAAACATCCAGAAATTGTTATTCCACCGCTTCTCTGGGCAGCTTGTTCCAGTGCCTGGCCACTCTGTCAATGAAGAAATTTTTCCTAGTATCAAGA